GAATCCAGCCCGGGCCGCCATACAATAACAGCTGCAACCAAGAAATAGCCAGGCGTTGTGGTGGGTGCCTGTGTTCCCAGCTACTTGGGAGGCAGAGGCAGGAGACTTGTTTGAACCCAGGAGTTGGAGGTTATTGTGGGCTTTGATGCCACGGCACTCTACCCAGGGGGATAGCTTGAGGCTCTGTCTCACAAAAAAAAAAAAAAGAAAAAGTCCATGCTGATCAGCAGTGGGATTACACCTGAGTGGCTACTGCACTCCATCCAGCCTGGGTAACATGGTAAGACTGCGTAGTCTCTGAATAAAAAAATCCCAGTTGATGTTAACATTTTGTCATCTCACCCCTAACGGTCTGTCCTAGAACCACCTACATGCCGAATGCCCACACTGAAGGCTAGACTGTAGCCTGGCACTCTATAGTAAAGACTCCGCTGAGTCCTAGCTTCCACCATCCTCTTCCTTATTCTGGAGAAAAACTGATCTTAGACTTGTATTAAATCTTAAAGTGAGCGTATTTGTTATTTGAAAACAGACATCAGTGCTAACTGTGCTTGTGGTCTGTCAAGGCTCTCTACGAGAACATGCTGGTGGAGCTACCCTTCGCAGGCTTCTTCCTCTCCAAGCTGCTAGGGACCAGCGCGGACGTGGACATTCATCACTTGGCCTCCTTAGACCCTGAAGTCTATAAGAACTTGCTGTTTCTCAAGAGCTACGAAGATGATGTGGAGGAACTTGGGCTGAACTTCACTGTGGTGAACAATGACCTGGGAGAGGCACAGGTGAGGACAGCCCTGGCCCAGCTGTGCACACATCCGCAAAGCAGCTCATTCCTTTTGTATCCAAGTATGCTTGTTTTACATTGTTTGAGCTCTTGCCCATTTAGTTAAAAGAAAATGTAGCTGGGAAGTAGAAATTACATCTTAGAGGAACCTGAAACACATTGGCCCCAACCTCTGAGCTGAGTACCATTCTCAGTTCTTTGCAGGGAGGGCCTGTCCCTGCATCGCAGTGCATCCTATCCTCCAGTAGAGTGTGCTGTGCTTGTGATCAAGCCTTGTTACCTGTGTGGTTCCCAGTGCTGGGAAGTGGCCAGGTGGCACAGTCCTGACTGGAGCCCTCAGGGACAGAAAACCAGCCCCCTTTCCCCTTAATCTCTCTACCGAGTGTCCTAGGCTACTCTAGCACTGGCCTTAGGGTTTGTTTTCTTTATCCCTCTTGTTGCTCTTGTGGTTTATATCCCTAGTTAGAAAAGAAAGGCTTATATAGCTCAGCACCTGTAGCTCACGTGGCTAGGGCACCAGCCACATACATGGGAGCTGGCAGGTTCAAATCCAGCCTGGCCCGCCAAACAACAATGACAAC